GACAAAGTAAGTGACTGCAAAGGAATTCCGGGGCTGGGTATTCGCACAGGCACAGGTGTGGAGGGCTGAGGGGCCACACACCCTCGGGGGTTGTTTTGTGGTTAGGTGTCCAAAAGCACCCACACATGCCCCCCAAGGGATCTGGAGCCATGCCGGGGTCTCACTTACTTGGTTGACCGAGGGACCACCATGTCTGAGAGGGATTCGTAGGTTTTTTGCCATTGTGTGTAGCTTGGTCTGCAAGAACACAGAATCGTGCAGTGATTTTTGCAGAAAAGGCTCTTGAGCGTCCTGAGTGCTGAGGAAGCTGCACACCCCTTTCCTGAGGGGCTGAAGGTGAGCAGGGAAGGGACCAAAGAGAGCCCCAAACATCCCGGCGAGGGCCCCAGGGCACCCACAGATGGTCCCTGTGTGAGAAGCTCAGCTACAGGTATGTTTGGAGCTTACTGATGACTTTCTAACTCTGGCCCTGTGTGACCTTGGACAAGAACTGACCTCTCTACCCTGACAATAGGAACAGTAACAGCCCTCCGAGGCCCGCTGTGCCAATGAAAGGAGATCATGTCTAGGAAGTGCCAGGCACACAGTAGGTGCTCAGTAAATGGCTGCTGCTACCCTGGGCACGACCGCCATCACCCTACTACTGCCACTGCCAGCCTGGAATCAGGGCCGGCAGGGCATCCTCTTCCTCTCCAGTGCGCCCTCCTGCTTCTCCCCTGGGCAGGGCCAGTTTCCTTCTGTGATGCCCCAGCATGGGCCGAGACACGGAACCCGCACCTTCCTGCCCACTCACTTGGGAACGATCACCAGAAGTGTGATGAGATACTCAGAATCCAGCACGAAGTCTTCCTTGCTCACAATATTGCTCAGCGTCCTAGTGAAGAGGTTCCCCCTGAAAGGCATATGGGACAGAGTGTGATCAGCAGAAAGGGACACACTGACCCCCCATACACCTACCACAACGCCCAGGCACTGGGGCTGGCTGGGGAGTCAGGAAATGGGAAAAGGTCAGGAGAGTTCCCTGGGGG